GTGCCACAGAGCCAAGGGGGAGGGCGCCCCATGGGAAACGGGGGGCTGGGGGCACAGGGAGGAGACACAGGGGCCTGCTCTCCAGCAGTGGGCTGCTTGGAGCCCGTCCCAGTTTCTCCTGGAGTTTCCTTCCTTTGATGGCTACAGCCCCATGAAGATGCCATGGCACCTATGAAGCAACGACTTCATAAATCACCAAAAGATCCTTTCCAAATTCTAACTGTGAGAAATGGATTTGTAGAGAGTTCTCAGGGCCTAACAGAAGGCCCACACGGTGTACATCTGTATGCAAACTTTGAGACAAGAAATGGTGACTTAGAAATGCCACAGAATAAGACAGATATTGTTGAGAGAAAAATGGAGCTAGAAAAAAGTTTCAAAAGATAACCTTACAAATAAGACTAGATACTTTAGAGAAATAAAAATAGGAAAAATGCATTAGGACCCACGAGGGGTAGTTTTAGATGATTGGCTTTAAGGCACCTACAGCATGGTGTGGCAAAAAGCTGATAGGCCAAGAAACACTCATAGTGTATTGTAATTAGGAAATTATTGGTTTCTGATTGTAATGGCATGAATGATAACATCTGTGCTGTCTCACCCTTCTCATGAGACGGAAAATGGAATAAAAGTTTTTAAAACACCTCTCAGCTGCCCCATCTGAAGATCAAGAACAGTATTGTCCAACAAACTGGTGCCCAGTGTGAGGAGCAGATAACTCAACTAAACTGTCTGACCAGCCAGAAAGCCCCGAGGTCACTTTTGTGAAGTGTTGCTGAGACAAGCATGAATCCTGGGATCATGACTCTTGCAAGAAGAGAGAAGTTGGATTTCTGCCCTCGTCGCTGGCTCGGTCAGGACAGAGATCCAGCAAGGACTTGCCTCTTGCTCAACATCAGGTAAGCCTCAGGGAACGTGTTAGGACACAAGATGTCCAATTTGCCTAGAGATATTTATAAAACCTTAAAGATCTGGTCAAATCTAATTCCTGCAACATTTCAAAATCTGAGTTAAAGGACTTACTATTATGTATTCAGAAGCGGTTTCCAGCTGTGGATAAAGCTTCTATGTTATCACTTCCTCTCTGGGAACTTTTAGGACTGAAACTATACAATGCTTTTACCACAGACAGAGATCAAACAGCTGCTAAGTTGCTACCAGCATGTTGTACAATGATTGATATGTTTAAGCATTGTACTAAGTAAAACATGAGGCATTAATTTCAGTAGTTTTAAACCCTTGAATGGTTTTGTGCTGGTGTGGGGAAGGTCATTCCCACCTGGCTCTGCTCTAGGATTCTGTGTAGCCCAGGGTTGTCACTGAGGTCCTTCAGGGGATGCTGAGATAGAACTGGAGGTGACAAGAGTGGGGCAAAATGGGCAGATAGACTCATTTGTGGGTGTTCACCTTGAGAATGCATTTCACATTGCACACATTCCACACACCTTTCCGTCCTTCCAGGCTCCAGCAAGCTCGTGCCATTCCAAGAACAGCAGAACAACTGTGATGAAGCATCCTACTAGATTTGGGCACATCCCACCCCACCAAAAACCACCCATTCCCCCTGAGAGCAGGGACCAAAGCCAGGTACAAGTGAGGCTGCTCACCTTTCCTCTCCTTGGAGAAGCTCTCCAGCTTTTGCCGGATGGATTTCATGCCTTTGGAGCCATCTACAAGGAAAAGGGGAAGGTTCAGCACCAGCATCTTGGGGCTGGCTCAGCATGGGCTCCCTGTCCCTCTGCAGCCTCCAGCCAGGGGACACTGAGGGACAGCCCTGAGGGGATCC